TTTTGATAGGCATATTTAGCCTCTGTTTTGATTATCTGTAATGAAGTTATGAATTTCAGTATGTATTTATGTATTGGCTTAAAGATATAGTTCAGTATATGAGGTAATTCATTATGTGTTGTATCTGTTGTATTTTAAGATTCGCAGGTTTAATTATGTTCGGGACTGACTCTGAGTCAGATTCTGTGTGAATTCATGGATGAATTCTAAGTCCGATAATGTTTATTTATGTTTTGTGTAAATTTACTATATTATAGGAATTGGATTTATCCGAATTACAGTCGTTATGCTGTCTGTAGGATTCTGTTCAGAATGGTCTCTATGATCATATTTGAATAGAATATATTTGTCAAGTACAAATATAAATAGAATAGACATAGGTAGAGCATTCAAGAAATTTGTACAGGTATGAGACTGTGTAGATTATAATATTTGAAACTAAGTTATGTATGTGGCAATGTGGGGAATAATAGGAAATGCGTTAAATTGTTAAGTAGGCATGTTAAGCCTTCCACTTAATTCATAATTTGTAGAGCATGTTTTGTACCATATGTCAGTTAACTCCCTGATTGCAGACGTGGTGTTATAAGGAAGATCATGACAAAGGGGAAGGAATTGATGCAAAATATTTTTCCCACTTTGGTGGTGTTAGGGTCAAATTTTTCCCCACTTCCAATACACCCCTTAAATAGGCTTTAAAAGGTACTATCAATTTCCCCAATCATCTAAAATATTTTAAAATATAATAATAATTTTGAAAATATTTTTCAAACATTCTAATTGAGATTTGTGCTGAATTTTATCGTTTAAAGCTTGTTCACAAAGATTCAGGGTTTTTTAATTTTTTGAAAACTTATGTATAGATTACTTTTGTAAAAGGGTGTTGTGAAGGTCAAAGGTCAAACTTCCGAATTTGGAATTCAAAGAATCACTTCTAATATCTTTGATGAACACCCATTGAATTCAAGTCGTGATCTTTACTATTTTGTCAACTATACACCTTGAGAAAGTGTAAGTGTAGGAGCAACATTAGACCTTGTTACACAGGGTTATTGCTGAAAATCTTATATCGGTTGTCACCGTCATTGTTGGATACACCTTTAGTTTCCAACTCACAATTCACTAATCATAATCGTTCATCCACAATTTTCACACAATACCAGACGACAACCTCAACATAAAATTCCAACAAGTCAACCAAGTGGACTGTTGCACTTCTCACAGATTGTACTTGACACAAAATAGGCGGTGCTTTAATTCTCGCGTGGACATAATTCTTCACAATGCTAAGTACCCACTTTCCAGATTCTATTAAAGACTGCCAATTATTGTCCTCGAGTGAAGAGAAACACAAATCCAACCATACGGACAAACAAGATTGATTCTAAAAGAAACATAAATAAATCCTATGATGCAGCTTTGTCAATCTAGGCACTACAACAACATTAGTCCATCACAACAGATGAGAAATTCTCCATTAGTGATATTCACGGAGGAAAATCATGACAAAAAGGAATGGCATTAATAGGAAAACAACCCAAACACAAGGCCCACACACAAGAAGAGCAACCCAATATATCTCCAAGATTATTGAGTGGACTAACCACTTCTAGAAGATGACCTTATCATATTAGATTTCTTGAATTATGCCTTCGCTCCTCATATCCTTTCTTCCGGATGATCCAAGATTCTCCAAGATTATTGAGTGGACTAACCACTTCTAGAAGATGACCTTATCATATTAGATTTCTTGAATAACTTTATACATAATTAATTAACAAGATATAAGTTATTTATTCAAATTATCTTAAATAGGATGTATCTTTATAAATTTATTTTTTCATTAAAACTCTAGCAATTACATTGTTTTTTATAGTCTATTTAAAGACATTACGATAATAAATTAAGAATGAAAATTTTCAATAATTTCCTTCCCTCCTTCTGATTTCTTCCTTACTCTCTTTTCCTTTCTCATTCTAAATTCTTCCCCACTCTCTTTTCCCTTCCCATTCTAAGTGCCTATAAGAGTCTGCAATCGGCAGTAAAGACAATGAATCACTAGTAGGGGTGAAAGTGGGCCGGGCTGGGCCAAGCTTTGTCCCGAAAAATCCAAGCCTATGCCAAAAAATTTCAATTTGGCCTGGCCCGAGCCTAGTACAAGTCTAACTGTTAGCCTGACTTTGCCTGTTTATAAAATAAATAAATGACCTGGCTTGGCCCGTTAGGCTGTTAATTTTTAACTTCCAAGCAGAACCATGAATCAACTTTACAAAATACTCAAATTCTGTTGCTAAAACAAAAATCACAATTTCAACGTCCAAACAGAACCATGAATAATAACAAAACTCATCACAATCTGTATTTAAGTCACTTTCAAAAGTAAAATGCTCAAACTAAATAACACATATTTCATCAGATCCAACAAACAAATTTATACTATGTAAATTAAAATAACTACATAAATCCAACAAACACATCATGTTGCTTGTAATAGCCAAAAACTTCTCTTCATCTTCTCTCCCCTACAAATACAATTCCAAGATTACATAAGTTGGCAAACAATTTGTAAATGTAGAAAACAAAAAACAAGAATAACGAATAGAAACAAAAAAAATAAGATTAAGAAACAAAAATTCTTTTAATAGATTCATATAGGCAATCTCACATACTGAGAAGTTGGTTCCTCCTATATAAAAAATATAGCCAAATTTCTATTAAAATTTAATCGAATATAATTAAATTATAAAATAATTTCAATTGATTAAATTTATACTTTTTATTTTTTCTTCAAGTCGTACCTATTACGTAGCCAATCTCCGTCGTATATTAACGCTTGGATGGTATCTTCAGCCAAGTTAGAACTATAGGCATCAATAATGTTGATTTTCATGGTACTGTAGAGATTGGTACATATCTTATGCAACTCTCAAAGATAGTATTGGTGAGGGAACGAACCTAGGTCCTTCCACCACCTACTTAGCTCACATACACCATTGAACTATCACCATTTGGTACTACTTATTTTATTTTATTTAAAATAAATAATATGATATAGACGGACTTGTAGGTTTATAGGCCCGACATGTAAAAAAAAACATATCACCTACTTTCTAAATAGGCTTCTTTAAAAGCTCAGACCTGTTTTATTTGACTATATATAATAGGCCAAGCCCAGCCTTATATAGACTAGGCCGTAGGCCGGCTCGATTCACTTTCACCCCTAATCACTAAAGACATGAACTCTTTTCTCATTTTTGTTGGACCTAACAACGTTGATGTGGAGAAAAGATTTGGAAAAACTTCATTTTCACCCATTGTGATTTTATGATTTATCATTTGACCCCATGTGGTTTTAAACTTATCACTTAGACTCATTGTGCTTAAATAATTTATCATTTAACTCCTCGTTGTTTCTTTTAGCATTTCTTTTATAAGTTGGAAAGACTAATCTCTAACAAAATTAAAAAAAAAACTACATTATTGTAATTTAAAAAAAAAATTGTACAAACACCCGCTTATGACATTAATCTTTTAAAAAATTTATACTTGTGTGAACGTCCTTGCAATTGGCAAAATATACGAAGAATCACTGTATTCGACTGATATTTGTTTGTGTATAATCAACGTATGTAATGAGAAGAATCAGATTTCCATTGTTGCTAAAAATCTTTTGCGAAAACTTCATTTTCAGGTTTTATGATTATCATTTGACCCTGTAGTTTTAAACTTATCAGTTAGACTCACTGTGCTGAGATATTTTGTCATTTAACTCCCTATGGTTTCCAATTTTCACTTGGACCCCTAGGTTTTAGATTTTTTTTTTCAAAAACTTATTAAATTATCTTAAATTTGTTCTAAAATCTTGGCGTTGAGTTAGTGTGGTTGGACATGTGTTCGATTTCCGCTAAATGCATTCTTGGGGATGGGGCTGAACCTTTAGCCATCACTGACCCCCGCACTCCGGATTAGTCCCATAGTCGGCTCAAAGAGTCGAAGCTTGTGGGGATATCGGAGGGAGCCAACTCCCCTCGAAGAGGTAATTAGGGTTGGGTAACTCCAAAAAAAAAAAAAAATTTAATCAAACGGCCATAAATAATTGCGAATCCCGCGTTTCAATCATTGATATATAAGTCATTAAAATCAATGGTTCATATTAACTAGTATCTTAATGCTACCGATATTCTAGGTAAAAGTTATACGAAGTCTCGTAAAATAGTTGCACTTAAAGAATAATTTAATACATCTTTAAACTTGAAATTTTTTGAACTGGAACCCCCTACCATGTTCATAAGTGATAAACTTTTTAACCACCGGATCATATAAACTTTGAGTAAAGATATTCTAACTACCAAAAATTCTCACTACTAATTTATTACCCATCATATTACTATTGGATCAAAGAGAGAATGTTAAATAATTTTTGAAGAGAGAGAAAATATTAATCTAATAGTGATTAGATATGTAGTAAATTGATATTGAAAAATTTTGGTAGTTAGAATATCCCTCTTTATAAGCTTTTTAGGTGAAGGCCAAAAAGATGATTTTACTTTTATGTTTATAATAATAAGGGAGAGGTTATACTTACAACATAGTTTCCTTTACAACTTCTTACAACCAATATCTTAATCGTTGATTTCCGTCAATCAATGGTTAAGATTTATTGTGAATTAATAATTATTTAATAAATTTTATTTGCAAAAATCTTAACTGTTGATTGACGGAAATCAACGGTTAAGATATTGATTTTAAGAGGTTGTAAAAAGAAAAATAGGTTATAAGTATAACCTTCCCCTAATAACAGTTATCAAAATAAACCAACTAACTTTTGGCATTTTTATTTTTTTAATCTGATCGAACAGGAGTCAGGAACCGTCCGATTCTTACAACAACCATGTATTAAACTCTAGCGTTACAACCGTACGAAAATACCCGTATAATTGAGAAGGCTAGACTATAGAGAAACCGTAGAAAATAGCAACGTTGCTTTCGTGGGTACTTGAAATGGTGGAGAAGCAACCTCAGAGACACAATCACAGAAACACACACAAGACAGGGAAATTGAACTTGAGACTTGAGAGAGAGAGAGAGAGAGAGAGAGAAGCACATTAACCACCATTAAAAAGCATTACCCTTTTTATATCACTCCCAAACACATTCCTCATTCCCCATTTTTTTCATTCTCTTTTCTATCCTCGTTCTCCTCATACTTCATTTTTTAGCATCGCAACGCTTTCAAACTCTTTAAACTTTAAAATCAACCTTGAACTCGGGTGTGTTATAGTTTCATTTCCCTAACAATTCGAACCCGGTTCAGTTCGGTTTCGGTTCTGTTGTGTTCGGTTCGGTTCGATTGGATCATGGAGCAAACCACACTCGAGTCCATTCAGTTCAACGAAGAAATCCAGGGAATAATGGCTCCGGCGCCGGAAACCGCGAGCTCCTTCACCGCGTTGCTTGAGCTCCCGCCGACGCAGGCAGTGGAGCTCCTCCACTCGCCGGAGCGCCGCCACGTCAGCAACCCGAAACCCTATCCGTTGAACGCCTTCGGTTGCGGCGGAGAAGGCAGCAATTTGACCTTCCCTTCCAACACCGAGTTGATCGAACGTGCTGCCAGGTTCTCCGTGTTCGCAGGAGAGAACTCGCCGCCGACGGGAGTGAAGAACGAGCCGCCGGAAACTGATTCGAACAAGAGTTCGACTCAGGGAGGTGGATGTGTCTCTGATTCTGCGGTTGAGGACGTGAATCCGAAGGGCACAAAGAGGAAGGAGCGAGAGAAGAAGGTACGTACATTCCCCCAATTCAATTGCGATAATTCTCGAGAATTAGGGTTTCTGTTTTCCCCTAATTTGGGGGAATTCGCTGGTTCTGTGAAACGCAGGTTAAAGTGTCGTCGAAGAAGAGCAAGAGCGTTGCGGACGAGAGTTCAGGCGACGCGCAGAAGCTTCCGTACGTTCACGTTCGAGTTCGTCGAGGTCAAGCCACAGATAGCCATAGCTTAGCAGAAAGGGTACGCTCTTTAATTAACCACTGATTAATTTATTTAATTAAGTTCTTTATCAGAAAGTTTAATTAGATAATTTTTTATTTTATTTTATTTTAATTGTGTTGTAGGCTAGGAGAGAGAAGATAAATGCTCGGATGAAACTTTTACAAGAGCTGGTCCCCGGTTGCAACAAGGTTGGTCCCTTTCCTTCTTGTTTTGGTCTTAATTAACCCTTTGTTATTAGAATTAATTAATTAGTTTTTATTCTTTATTTTCATGATTATGTCATGATTATCTGTCTAATTTGTCTCCCTAAAGTGCAATTATGTTTCTGGATTATGGGGTTTAATAAATGGGGTTTGTCGATGTCACCTTTTCACCAAAAAAAAGTGCTCGCTTTCGCATCAAGAAAAGTGCTAACTACCACTCATTGGGCGTCAACATGGCATTAGTGTAATTTTACCCATCTCTCTCTCTCTTTTTGGTATTTCCTTTTGAAGATTGGTTACAACTTACAACGTACTTAAGTAGTCTGTTTGGAGGTTAACTTTGTCATTATTCCAATACAAAAAAAAAAATTGTCCTTCCAATCTTGATCTACTATTTTTTAGCCTTGTTCTATCCAGGTGATGTTGCATCACTTGCATGGAGTTGGAGGTAACTAATAGCAACCCTTCATCCCTCCTCAACTGGTTTAGTTTCAGTAACATGTTTCTCTGACTCTGGGATTTTGGACGTCAATGTGAAAGAAGCTTTTCATAACCTGTACAAAAATTGACATCAAGACAAGGATGTTTCATAAGAATAATATAGTGGTTCTTTTTTCTTCTGCCCGTAAATTAGTCCCTGTTTATTGAAAAGGACAAAACAAAAATTACGTCATGGTTTGTACACGACAATTAAGGTAATCCACCTTGTTCCTTTCTTCAGCCTTCTGGCTTATTGAAGAGACAGAAGGGTCGGCCTGTGGGGCGGAAAAGAGTGTGTGGGGGTGTGTTATCGTAGCTGGACTCTGGCTTTAACGATTGGAAGGCACATAGGTGGGTGTGTTGAAACTAGTATCCATGGGTCCCCTAAGCAAGTGATACATTAATCCTTTTTGTGGCGGTGATGGTACCATCATAGTTTGGTATCCATCAATCATTTATGGGATGACGAAAATAGGGTGAGAAAAGCAAGCATACCTTTTGGAGTGCATTTACCAAACGGAAAACCTCACTGCCTTTGGACATTGTACATGATCTAAATTAATGTCGCCTAAACTTTAGCGAAATACACACCTCAAGATTTATCTCCAAAAATTAAAAGTTTATACTGCATTACTCTTTTCTACTTTGGTGGTCTTAGGGTTATTATAATAATGACCTTTTCCAGTAAGACCTTTGAGTCTTCAATCGTACTTTGCTGTATCGAGCTACTGGATATTATTAGTCAGAAACTCTGATTTATGGGCTCTCTACTCATTATTTTACCCGTTGAGTCATGGTTAATTGCTCTCGGAAAGTTTTGCAATCTAAATGAGCCACAAGAGTGTGCTTCACCAATTGATTTAAAGCTGCACTGGCGTTCTAACATCATTTGTTGTTGTATCTTCAAAACTAAAATTTTAAATTAGTTTCAAGAGTTTGTCAACTTTAGGATGCAAATAACGAATGATTGGAGGGCTTTGCAGCAATAATTATATTAAAATAATATTTTGAATAATTCTAATCTGTGGATGTTTCTCAATGGGAAAAATAATCTGGTAAAGGCTTTCTCCCCTAATTGAATTCTCTCACTGTGAAATTACTGCTTTACTATTTATGTACAATTTTCGGTCACATTTGTGTCACGGATACATTTTTACATTTTTTGTAAGTCAAAGATAGCTGACATGACAAAGTTTGCCATACAGATATCAGGAACGGCACTGGTTCTGGATAAAATCATCAACCATGTGCAATCTCTACAGCATCAAGTGGAGGTCAGATTTTCATATCGCTCTCATTCTAGGCAATTGTTTTGACAAACAATGAGAAGGATAAAGTTGTTAGCAGCAATCTGATTCTCAATATGACTGTGGATAGTGCTCGCAAACTTTTTAAAAGAAGGGGCGGGTGTTCCTTTCTTCCCCATCTTTATCTGATCCTTCAATCCAGTAAAATGCTACTGAGATTCTGAAACATTTTTGGAGTCATTGAAACAAATAAAACATTGCTTAACCATAAGCTTTAAAGCTGTCATGGCCCTATTATTTTGCACTATATGACATTTTAAACTGCAGACCCTTCTTCAAAAAACACAGAATAATGTGTCTGACCTATCTTCCCATGCGTATTGGGGACTAGAGGCTTGAAATTGCATGCTCCTGGAATTGTGCATTGCTTGGTTAAGTGCATTTGCTCAAAAATTACAAAATGACAAAATGTTTTCTTGTGATGATATTTTATCGAAGTAAATTTGCTTAGAAAGTGAAATGCAACTGTGAAGATATCTCAAGAATGAGAAGATTTAATAGGTCTTTCTGTTGGAACACAATGCAGTAAGTCATTTTCATCAATATGATCCTTTTCTCATTTATTTACCTTCTGGTTTCAGTTTTTATCAATGAAACTGGCAGCAGTTAACCCAAGAATTGATTTCGGCCTCGACAGCATATTGGCTACTGAAGTAAGTATTAGGAATTAGTCTCACTTTGTCATTTTTTTCTTGTTGGAAAAAAAAAATGTAAATTTATGTATTTGTCTTTGGCTGGGGGAGTAATCTGAACTCTGAAGTAAATGAACTTGTTTTGCTTGGCTCTAAAATGATGAGGAATAACATATGTGATCTCCTTCTGAGCACTTTCAGTTCTATTTTCGTTGAGGCCATCCACACTTGTGCCTTATTAAGCAGTCTTGATGTAATTCTAGACTACTTTCTAAAATTTTTAAGTTTCCACATAGATTAGCGAGTGATGGATCACAATTTTACGCGGCTGGCCTATCTAATGGTGATTGCCCAGTGTATTCATACTTGCCCGAGTGAAATGGTGAACTTGAAAATGGGGACAGTAAAACAAATGGCTTGTAATCAGTTACTGTCATTCATTCCATTCTGTAGGATGTCATGCTAGGCCAACTAAGAAACACTAAACACCGAGTAACAACGTGAACAAATGTTTTCACTTGATTGCCTAGATCCATCCTAATTAGTAATTACAAATTCTCTGGGACATTGTAATTGAAATCATTGCGGCTCCATCCTTAAATCAGGGTCAGGGGCTGGTGTATGGAATTGAAAATGATTGTTTAGATATGTGTTCAGTTGGAGCTGGTGGAGGGTGTATATAATTTTGTGGATGAAGCAATAGAGCCAGTTCGGCCTTTTCCGTTGATATTTTACTTTATTTTCTTACTGCTGATAAAATTTTGTTTGCAACTTGTAGGGTGTATCTCTGATGGACAGTAACTTCCCCGCCACAGTTGCACCTGTCCTGTGGCCAGAAATCCCACACAACGGAAACAGACAGCAATATCAGCAACCGTGGCAATTTGATGCATTCCAACAACCACTTTGGGGGAGGGAAGAAGATACCCCTAATTTCATAACTCCAGAAAACTCACTTTTGAGTTATGACTCATCAGCAAATTCAGGTAGATCAGAGTTAAGCTTCTGTTGCACATGTCTCCTCCCAATAGACACGTTCCACAGAAATTTGTCTAATTTATTGTCATCATGGTTCCTGCATCCATTGGCATCGGGCTTCATAAATAGAGAGGGATTGGAGCTGTCTGTTTTATAGAGCATTTTGATACTGAAAAGCATATGGAAATATGGGACGGATGGGCTCGGAAGGAAATAATTTGCATACACAAGTAGAGTAGTAGAGTTGTTATTAAATTTTTAGGGAGCTGGATAATTTTGAATCTGATTTTATTTTATTTTTTCCTCTGGTTATTACTTTTGAATCTGAATTTAACTACTTAATTTGTGATACAGTATCTCTGCACTCAAATCAGTTGAAGATGGAGCTCTGAAGGGGTACAGAGAACTGGTGGTACTCGTAGCAATTAGCCTAGTAGTGTATATATCAAATATAGTTTTAGGAATTAGCAGTGATTTGAGCAGCCTCAACATTAAGCAGGGTTTCTTTGTCTTCTATTTGTCAGAGTCAGTTAGAAACCTGGATTTTCTTCAGCCAGCAAGGAAGAAGAATTGGTATGCTATTTTTATATAATATATTACTGTCACTATGTATACTAACTATAGGGGTCATTCAATCTATGAAGTGATTGATTGATTCAGATTGTAAAATCATTGAACGGATTGTTACCGAACTATCATGGAAGTTTGTTGGTTTGTTAATTGAATGCTATTCAGATGCTATTATATTGGTTGTCCATTTTTTATTCTCCCATTTCTATCACAAAGCCATAAATATTGTTATTTGTTGATCCTGGCAACAGTGCAGCATAACAGCTGGGTGGTATTGTTGTCTTCTACCTGGATTGCCTTGTTTCTGCTCTGATTTTCGTTGTTTCATTTGTGAGACTAACGTGATATTTAGTTAGAAATAGACACCTAATGAATCATTTACAAGTAAACTCCTAAATTCAGCTGAGAAGTTTAGCAGCAGACACATTAATATTTGAGAATTTAAAAAACTTGTCTTTTTTCTCTAAGGAATTATAAATGCTATATTATTGCTTTTAAGAGACTAATTTAAGTGGTATATACGGATTAATATGACTGCTATTTGATGTTTTAAAAGAATCATAGTAGAGTTCTTGCATTATCAAAATGGTTTATGTGCTTAGTGCCGAATTTTGCCAAATTTTTCTAAGACGAATTTGAGGTGTATTCATCATTTGATGTAATGGGCCTACTAGGGATATAACTTTTTAGGGATTTATGTTTATTATGTTACATAACTTCACTTTTCTACCCACACAATAAAGTGATGGAGTCTACATATTTTTCTCTCTCTTTTATCATTTCACTTTCTCTCTTTCTTTTACTGTGTGTGTAAAAAATTAAAGTTATGTCATGTAACATAACAAACATAAAATTCAACTTTTTTATGTAAGCTTTCACTTTTCTTTATATCTTCATTTTAGATTGGTCAATCCAACCTTGCAGTAGATACTTTAAATAATATTTTTATTTTAACATAGAGATCGTATGAAAAGCCGTAAGGAAATTCTTAAATTTTTATCCTGTGGTGATTATCAATTTAGTGGCTTTCATATTCATCTGTTTGAGTAGGTAAAGCCTTCGGACAACATATGGAGTGTGTCCCTAATCTACAATTAGAATTGAGGGATTAAAATTCTACTTCAATATGAAAGTTGTAACGACTTAGTTTGCAATCGGTTAGTTAACACGTAATATTGTATTTACAACACATCTTACTTAATAAAGTAACGGAAGACTTAATGATAGTTGTCAACATCCAATTTTGTTCCATATATTTAAAAATGACAAAAAAAAAAAAAAAATACAAAAAACAAGAAAAAGAAAAAGAAAAGAAAAAATTAAGTTATGAACACATATTTTTGTCCTTCAATAAGGAAAAAACGAAGAGAGCAATCAAAAAGATGGAAAAGGGAAGGAGGGCCATTTCAGAAAAAATAACAACTTTGAGTAGGACCTGTTCCAGCCACGATATATCATTCTTATCGACCGGTGGATTGTCTATATTATTCCCAAAAAATTAAAATCATCAACAGTTTTCTGGGCATTTCTGCAGCGAGCAACGATTTTGTGAGGGTCATTTCTCCCAAATGAATCGTTGGATTGTCCTCAAATTTTGTCAGCGTGTTCCCCTCATGTAATACTACAATCTGACCGGACGGATTTTCGAACTGAGCCTCCTAGCATTAGATATAAATTTCTAAAGATGGGTTGTTAGTTTTGTTAGAACAAATGCAATTTCGGGCAGCCATGTTGCAAGGATTATTTCTCTCAAATGAACCGTCCGATCTTCCACAAATTTGGTCGGCATGTTCCTCCCATATGATACTTCAATCTGATCGGGCCGATTTTCAAGAAAACCCCTCTGGTGTGAGATATGGTCATCGCAAAATGGCTCCCCACATCGAAAAAAAACCAAATTTCCTAAGAAGTTCCACATTACCCATTTCTCATTCCTTCCTCCTCCCTTCCCTCTATATAAAGAGACTCTTCCCCTTCATTCCAACACACACCCTTTGAAGATAACCAAATAAAAAAACACAATAAGACTCTTCCAAAGAGTTAAATATTCATCAATTTTGCAAAGAAATATAAGATATCCTAAATATTTATATTAAATGGTAACTGTAATCCAACGAATCTAATAGTTGGAACTAAAAACTCAACGCAGCGCAACCTTTGAACTTTTTTTGAATTTATATAATGCGTGTTGGAGTGTCGGGGAGTGTCGGAGAGTGTCGGGAAGTGTCAGACACGACACGTCAGAGTTTTTGAAGTGTCGGTGCTTCCTAATGTGTCAAGGGTGCAGTGCGATTAAGTTTTCACCCTTCCCTGCGCATAATTAGACTCCCGAACCTTTGATCTATAATTTTAAAGACCAGTTTGCAATAAAAGGTTTTCCAATTTTTTCCAAAGTAAATAAAATTGGTGGCGACTCCATTGTTTTAATTTTTTATTTTGGGTCGTTACAGATGGCGACTCTGCTGGGGACTTTAGAGAGCCAAGCTTGTTTTAATTAATTGTGCGGATTCATAATAGTTTTTATATATTTGCTTTACTTCCCTTTATTTTACTATTTTGCTTCATTTTTTCTTTCTCATTTTATTCTGCATGTTTATTTTTTCTTATTCTTGTTTCTTATATTTTGATATGTATGTGAAAGATGTGATGATTGGCTCCATCTTTAGAATGAGGAACTTTTTGTGTTATTATATGCTTACTCTCAATTGTTTTGCTGATTGGGTTACACACAACATCTACACATTCATCACACACGTATGAGTGGGGCCCTATACCCAGGTCTGAGTGCAGCTTAAGATAGGAGAGAGGTTGTGTAGTGATAGCCATTTTGGATGTACATCCTGTTTGGTTATCACGAAAACCTCGGCTAGAGTTTGACTCTTTCGTAATTATAGTCATTTTGGATGTACATCCTGTTTGGCTACTTTTTTCGAAATGAGATGTTAACTCTAGTGGACAAAATACTTAGAGTCATTCAACCACCAAATGAAAGTATTCACTGTATAGAATAACCTATTGACCATCCAATATTAATCAATTCATGAGGCAATTTTCCTTCTAACTCTTTATTTTCATCCTCGCATATAGCATATTGATGTATAAATTAACATTTTTCAAAATCATCATTATTGAAACATTTATCTTTCTGGTAGTTACGCATTTTGTAAAGCAAAACATACTAGGCATTGCATTACATTCAAAAAGAAAGAAAGAAAAATTTGTATTTTGCATCTTCCATCTCATTTTCGCTATTGTTTATGTTCCATCTCTGCACAAAAAAAGAAAAATAAAAAGAAATGATAGTAATATTTTTTGCGAATGAAGTTTGATCAAGGAAATGCTATACCAATCAAACATAAGTTCACAACATCAAGTCTAGGATCAGAATGGAGGCAAACAATGAAGAGGGGAGAGACATGTTCAAAGAAGTAGAAGAAATAAGAGGAAGATTGAATAAGATGGAAGAAACATTGAAACGCATAAAAGAATTTCTCAATTTGCTAATGACCCAACCTATTAGGGAAGGGAATGCTCACACTGAGGCACATACTCACGCATCGACGGGGTTCAACTCGAGGATTAATTTTGCCTTAGTTCTGAAAGAGAAGAAGAAGGAAGTCTGGATAGAGAAAATTGAGGAAAAGATTAAAGCCATCCAAGGGGCATGTTCTTATAGATCTCTTGGGGTAGAAAATTTATGCTCCCCAATGAATGTTGTTGTTCCTAAAGACTTTACTGTCCTGAATTTTGCTAAATACAACGGGAATACCAATCCGCTTCTTCATTTGAAAACCTATTGCACCAAAATGGCAATATGGTCCAAGGACGAGAGGTTTCTTGTTGGCTTCTTCCATGAGAGTTTGACTGGTCCAGCCCTAGAATGGTATATTCAACTAGATCATTCTAAGATATCTTGCTGGAAAGATTTGGCAGACGTGTTCATGAATCAATATCGATTCAACTTGGATACTGCTCTGACTCGAGAACAGTTCGGAACCTTGCAAATCGAGAATGAGGAAACTTTCAAGCAATATGCCCAAAGATGGAGAATTCTCGCAGCACAAGTTCGATCACCATTGATATTATCAGATATGTGTTCTTAATTCATAGGAACTTTGGGGCCTCTCCATGTTGAAGCCAAGGGCAGACCTACATGGGGGGCGTGCATGGGCGGCCGCCCCCCTCTAAAATCTGAAAAAAATGTCTACATCCCCAAAAAAATACATAGTATATTTTATTTTTCATAATTGGTGGGTTACTTTAACAAAATTAGCATTGTGTGTCGTTTGGATCTGAAATGAGTTGAATTGATTTCACCTTGTTGATGATCGGTACAATGTTTTTGTTCAAAGCTTTCGATTTCACTTTCTGAGTCTCCTTCTTTTGCTTCATTTGATACCCAAAATCTGTTAGCATGAGAAAGAAGCTTGATACCCATTTTCCTGTTGTGAGTATGTTCACTTTCTCTTTGTAAAGTTGTGATCTTTTTGTAGTTTCATGTTGTTCGAATGCTCAAAAACCAACATAAAGTGAAAGAAAAAAAACGGGTATAAAATAATTATAGTTTGCAATAATTTTTGGAATTTATTTGTTTAGCTTTATGGTGCTTGATAATTGAAGTATATGGGTCTGTAGTGCTGTGGGCATTATGGAACTTTATGATGTTAGTTTTAGGTGCTTGCCTAATTTGGGTTCTACGAGCTTCTCCCTCTTTTTGGATTTATTTTAGTTATGTGATTATATTTGTTTTTAAAATTATTTAATGGGTGCATCTCTTGAGATCGCTGTACATGTTTTTTGGTTTAAGAATGTGATTCTCCTACTTTTCATTGTTGACATGGCACATGGCAATGAAATAATCTATGTTAAATTCGTTAATTTAGTATACCTGTTAAATTATATTTTATTTAAAATTCTATAAGTTGGATTTGTTAAAATTTTCGCCCCTCTTCATATAATTTTCTGGGTCCGCCACTGGTTGAAGCAATGGTTGGCGTTGTATATCAAGACTTTGCTGAACTTATAGCTGCCGGAGAAAGGATTGAAATTTTGGCTAAAGCTAGAAAACTATCCATAGAGAGTACAATTGATCCGATGGATGAGAGCTAGGAATGAGTCATGTTGAAGTTCAACCC